GGTAAATTGCACGGTAATGGAAGGAGACCCTCAGGGTTATACAGTGGAGGGGGTAGAGAGAGAGGAGGGGAGGGGAGGGGAGAGGTGGGGAGGGGGGAGGGTGGATGATGGGAAAGGCAGCGGAGCACAACAGACACTAATATGGCAATTTGTAAATCAATGGATGTGTAACTGATGTGAATCCGCAATCTGTGTATGGGGTGAAGGTGGGAGTTCATAACCCACTAGAATCAAAGTGTGGAATATGATATGTCAAGAAATTTGTAATGTTTTGAACAACCCACAATAAAAAATTAAAAAAAAAAAAAAAAAAAAAAATATTGATGGAACAAAGAAGATAGAAATAGATATGAGGATAAGAGCTATAATACATGACATAGTATTTTAATGTTCAGTAGGAGAAAAAATAATAAAAATTGGTTCTAAGCACAATTCATCTTATTTCTGGATAGAAAAATACTGACATCCTGTATCATACTGTGAACCAAAATCAATTCCAGATAGATTAAAATGTTAAATCTATATGTTTGTATACACACTCACAGAAAATTGCACTTGGCTCCTTTATTCCATGGCTGTCTGAAATTTTCTATAAGCAAAACTTTTGTAAGAAACAGAAAACACTGGAAATAAGACTGGGAGTATAGTTCAGCAGCAGGTCTTGCCTGGCAAGCACAAGGCTGGGTTCAATCTCCAGAAACACACACAGAGAAAAAGAAAACATTGGAAATAGCTTGAGAAACAAAATAGATAAGAATATGAGAAAGTTTATTGTAGCATTACTCTTTGCTATTTTTTGTTTTATTTTTCTTTTTCCAATGCTAGGGACTAAACTCAAGACCTTGTACATCCTAGGCAAGTACTCTTACTACTGAGCCATATTTCCATCCCAGAAGCATTACTTTTAAAAATATAAAGAACAGAAGACAAGCAGAAATAATAATTGGGGAAATGTTTGAAGAGGCAAAGGCATACATATACTGTGGAACATACTGTAATTATTAAAGACTTGAAGAAAAAAATTAAAAAATGTAATTGAATGTAAAAAGGCAAATTTCAGAGAAATATATAAAGTATTGTCCATTCTTTTTTTTTAATTTATTTTTTAGTTGTAAATGGACACAATACCTTTATTTATTTTTTTTATGTGGTGCAGAGGATCAAACCCAGGGCCTAGCACGCACTAGGCGATCGCTCTTCCGCTGAGCCACAATCCCAGCCCCATCCATTCTTTTAAGTATAATGATTTATTTTGTGTATTATCATTTGAGCATAAAGAAATTCATGAAGGGAAAGCTTTAGGCATTATTCAAAGTGAACAGCTATGGAAAGACAATGAGGAATGGACAGGGACAGAGATTGATTTTCATTTAATGGCACTATTTCATTGACCTAGTATAAAAGCACTATTTCTGTAATTTTAGATGAGGACTTAATCCTCCAAATATGCACATAAAACAAAATAGAAATGCCTTTGGCAATTCTCATTGTTTATCAGTTTTCTTTGTGATAACAATGTGTAATAATTCTCCCATTTGCAGGTATTTTTGTTCACTCTACATTTCGCAAACTCATTATAAAATTTTACTTTTTTTTTGGTTCTGGGAATTGAACCCAGTGGTTAAGGGGTACTTATGCACTGAGCCACATCCAAGCCCCCCTTTTTTTTAAATATATTTTGAGACAGTGTCTCTCTAAGTTGCTTAGGGCCTTGTTAAATTGCTGAGGCTGGGTTTGAACTTGTGATCCTCCTGCCTCAGCCTCCCAAGCCTCTAGGATTACAGGTGTGGCAAAATTTTACGTCTTGAGAGCTTGTCTGGAGGTTCTAGCAGGGGAGCACAGCTACTCATATAACCTTGACCGAAGAACAGTCCTCCTCTATCAGGGAAGGTCATCTTCTTTGACCCAGCACACAGCTTTTGGAGGGATGCACATGGAGCAGTGAAGGAGGAAGGGATACCCGCTTAGCCAGCCAGATCAGCTGAATCAACCCTGGTGATCAATGGGGTGACAGATGTCACAGCCAGATCGCCCTCACATCCAAAAATTTTACCTCTTTAAAATTATAAAAATGAAGTAATTCAGTGTCCAAAACCTCTTACTGCCAAGTACACATGAGGCCTGGGATTTAATAGCAAGTACCACAAAAACAAAAACAAATCAAAAATCCTGTTTACACAGAATTTAAGAAAAATTAGAGTGGTAGGGAATGAAAGGATGGACCTCTGGCAACAATATATGGATTTCCCTTCCCCACAATGGTTACCTGTCCGGTAAACCAGACAGCTATTTGCTAAGCATGAAAACTGGGGCACAAGAAAAGCCCATCTCAAAACATTAACTTAATCCTAAATAAAGCCCAACTGTGGGTTAAAAAAAACCCAACCAAAAAATAAAAATTTAAGGAGTTAGGTGGGATGGCACAAGTCTGTAATCCCAGTAACTCAGGAGGCTGAAGCAGGATCCCAAGTTGGAGGCAAGCCCAGGGAATTTAGGGAGACACTGTCTCAAAATAAAATGAAAAGGGGTGGAGATGTAGCTTAGTGGTAGAGCACCCCTGAGTTCAATCTCTGGTATCACAAACATCTTGATTTCTTTTTTTAAATTTTTTTTAGTTGTTGATAGGCCTCTTTTTATTTACTTATTTTATTTATATGTGGTGCTGAGAATCGAACCCAGGGCCTCATACATGCTAGGCAAGTGCTCTACCACTGTGCCGCACCCCAGCCTGACAACTTGATTTCTTAAAGTATTTTTATTAGGCTTCTGTACTACAGTGGCAGAGTTGAGCAGTATCAACAGAAATATTTTTTATGGCCCACAAAAGCTAAAATACTTACCCCCTTTCTTGCCCTTTATGGAAAATGTCTGCTGACCTTTGGTCTAGAACACAATATATAATTCCATTGATGTATTTGATGCAATTGCAAAATTATGACAATCTGGGTTCTCAATAGGTTAACCCTAAAAAGTTTTATTTTCATGTATGTATTTATCTACAGCATAAGAATGATAACTGACATGATGCTTAGAATAAGTAAAAACTGCATATAGGGGAAAATATTAGTAGAACAAGTCCTTACCTTGAAGAAAGAAAAAACCCCTTCATATTTGGATTCAGCTATTTCATCTCTGGAAAAAAATTTCAGCTGGAAACTGTTCACATCTATGAAACTTTAGGGAAATTACCTTGTACTGTACTATTTCTCCCCTGCCCCCAAACCTTTATAGGGCCAAGGAATTTGCCCCATTAAAAGCTCCTATTGTGGGGCTGGGATTGTGGCTCAGTGGTAGAGTGCTCGCCTAGCACGGGCGGGACCCGGGTTCGATCCTCAGAATCACATAAAAATAAAGGCATTGTGTTGTGTCCATCTACACCTAAAAAATAATTTTTTTTTTAAAAGCTCCTACTGTGCCAGGCCAGTGGTACATGGCTGTAATCTCAGCAACTCAGGTGGTTGAGGCAGGATTTCCAGGCCTTGTGTCAAAATAACAAATAAAAAGGGCTGGGGATATGGGTCAGGGGTCAGTGGTTAAGCACTCCTGATACAAATAAAACAAAACAAAAAACAACACTTGTAGAGATGACATATCTTCTTTGGCTTTTTTTTTTTTGGTATTGGGGAATGAACTCAGGGGCGCTTAACCACTGGAGTACATCCCCAGCCCTTTTCTATATTTTATTTAGAGACAGGGTCTCAACTGAGTTGCTTAGCACCTTGCTGTTACTGAGGCTGGCTTTGAACTGGCAATCCTCTTGTCTCAGCCTGCCCAGCTGCTGTGATTACAAGGTGGGTGCCACCTGGCCTGGCCTTTTTTTTTTTTTAATATGAATGATCAATTATAAATCAGGAGCTATCACTTCAAAGATGTAGATATTTGGTCAGGTGCAATGGCACACATCTGTAATCCACACTACTCCAGAGGCTGAGGCAGGAAGATAACAAGTTCAAAGCCAGTCTGGGCAATTTAGCAAGACCCTGACTCAAAAAAAGGACTGGGAGGGCTGGGACATAGCACAGTTGGTAGAGTGTTTGCCTTGCATGCACAAAGCCCTGGGTTCAATCCCCAGCAACACACACACACACACACACACACACACAAAAGGACTGGGGACACAGCTCTGTGGTAGAATATCTGCTCAGGATGTGTGAGGCCCTGGGTTCTATCCCCAGTACTAAAAACAACAAAAACAACGAAACACTACCACCACCAGTAACAAAAACCCCAATGACAAAGTGAATTTCTGGGTTCTCTCTCTGGGCCTCTATTTCCTTAGAACATCACAGTTGACTTGAGCTGGACACTGGACATCTCATGTCCCAAAGAGTTTTGTTTCTAATTTTCTTTATTAAATAGACACTTACCATTGGATCATTTGTTTAGGGTGCGCATATGCTTTATCTGACAGTGAAAAACAGCAGTCTTTTTCATACCTTCCTAATCAACTGCTGGCATCAAGATTTTTAGAATGGCAAAAGGAGACATCTACTGTTAATATAATGGTTCTTTGAACACTTGATAAAGTTGCTGCTTCATTATAACTAGTTAATTGATATCATGCTAATTTATTCTGTTCCTTATGTTTAAATTCATATTTGTATTTTCCTAAAAATAATTTTTTTGGTTTTCAAATGTTTCTGAAAAAACATTGTATTCAGAATAACAAAGTCTGTATGTTTCTCCCATGAAACAATGCTGTTTGTTTTTTTTTTTCTTCATGAGCATCACCAATGTTCTATCTGTAGTTTTTTATACCAGGTATCATATGATGTAGCAAAAAGGAGATTAGTCTAAGTCCTTCCCACATATTATTAACATTTCCCCCAACAACACCCAGGATTATTTCATGTTCAATAGGAAAGAAGTGATCATGGAAAAATTTCTTAACATATTACTCTTACATGGTCTTTAATACACTGCTTAATGGTAAAGTCTTCAGAAAGTTAATATCTTTCAACAAATAATACTGATGACAACAATGAATATAAAAACAATGATTAACATACAGCAAATATGTATTTATTACATGGCAGGCACAATTTTAAGCACCATGTCTCAACTCATTTAATCCTCGCAAAGTATTATGAGGTAGGTATTATAAATATCTCCATTTTATAATTTCCACTGAGAAATACATCTATAAAAACAGGGCTGGGGGGGGGCTGGGGTTGTGTCTCAGTGGTAGAGCACTTGCCTGGCATGTGTGAAGCACTGGGTTCGATCCTCAGCACCACATAAAAATGAATAAATTAAACAAAGGTATTGTGTCCAATCTACAAAAAACAAATAAACAAAACAACAACAACAACAACAACAAAAACAAGGCTGGCATGGTGGCACACATCTGTAGTCACAGCCACTTGGAAAACTGAAGCAAGAGTCACTTGAGTCCAGAGTTTAAGCCCAGTCTGGGCAACAGTGACATCTTGACTCTCAAACAGAAACAGTATCAAGGGCAAGTAACAAACTGATAATGACTATTTTTTGGAAAGGGGAATGAATAGAAGGATGGCAGTCAGTGGATATGTTTTCCTTATTTGTAATGTTTGTAAAATTTTTAATAAGCAAAAATATTCATGACTTATTTCTACATTAAAATAAAACACATAGTACAAATATGCCTAGACAGAATTTCCGAGGGACATGCATTTTTGCATTTATCATGGCAAAATAGATGGAGGAAAGTACAATGTCCATTAGTAGGGATTTAATAAGAGATCATAGTAGCACAAGGAAACATCAGGAAAGTGTTTAAAAATCCCTACTTATTGAGTGGAATGTCTTTTATGAATATTTTTACTAAAAGAAATCCTTAATTTTATAAGAGCTAAAAGGAACAAGCCACTTAGGCATGGTGGTATACACCTATAAATCTCCAACAACTCAGGAGACTAAGGCAGAAGGGTCTCAAGTTCAAAGTCAGCCTCAGCCATTTAGTGACATCCTGTCTCAAAACAAAAATAAAAAGTGGATGGGGATGTAGTTTAGTGGTAGAGTGCCCTGGGTTTAATCCCCAATACCATTTTTTTAAAAAGTCATCTTCAAAAATAAAAAGGTCACTTCTCTCAGTTATTAGAGATATTTTTAAAAATAAAGGCAGTTTACAAAACATGATGTAAAAACATCTTTATAGTCATAAATTTAAGATAGATTAAAATATCAATAATGTAAGAATTATAGAAATAAAGGAAAAAAGAAAATGAAAATCACAGGATTATATAAGTGCATGAATTCTATGATGTATAAGAATATCAGAAAGGTCAAGTGTTTTTTTTTCAATATTTACTAGACTGAATAATCTGAATTCAAATGAAAAATGAATTTTTATTAAAAAACTTCCAAAATATATTCTATATCTCCAGCATGATTTTTCTTCGACTGAATAAGCTATAGTTAATAAATAAAATGTTTCTACATTCTTATGTATGGAGGCGGTTATCAGAAAGATAAATTCTCTGACAGTCAAAAAGTTTTGAGCCATAATCAAAACCTTCCCACACATTTTGTACATTCTGGTTTATCACCAGTACAGATTTTGATGCTGAATAAGTTGTGAACTATAATTAAAGTTCTTTCCACAGTCCTTGTATTCACAGGTTTTCTCACCAGCATGAATTCTATGATGACTAATAAGTTGTGAACTCTGAGAGTAAGCTTTCCCACAAATCTTACATTCATAGGGTTTCTCACCAGTATGAATTCTCTGATGTCGAGTAAGGTCAGATCCAGAACGAAAAGCTTTTTCACATTCTTTACATTCATAGGGTTTCTCACCTGTGTGGATCCTTTGATGTTTAATAAGTTGTGAACTCTGACTAAAGGCATTGCCACATTCCTTACATTCATAAGGTTTCTCTCCGGTGTGAATTCTCTGATGCTGAGTAAAGTTTGAACTACTGCTAAAGGCTTTCCCACATTCTTTACATTCATAAGGCTTCTCTCCAGTGTGAATTCTGTGATGTCGAGTAAAGTTGGAACCACTACTAAAAGCCTTTCCACATTCCTTACATTCATAGGGTTTCTCACCAGTATGAATCCTGTCATGTCGAGTAAGGTCTGAGCCACAAATAAATGTTTTCCCACATTCTTTACATTCAAAGGGCTTCTTGCCAGTGTGAATTTTCTGATGATGAGCAAGTCTTGAGGGATGTCTAAAGGCCTTGCCACACTCCTTACACTCATGGGGTTTCTCAATGGTATGAATTATTTGATGTGTAGTAAATTCAGAGTCATGTCTAACATTTTTTCTATATTCTTTTGTTGCACAGTATTTTTCTTTATTATTAATAAGTTGCTGTAATGTAAAGGATGGGTGTTGACTAAAAGTGGGCACATCTTCATGGGTGATTATCAGTTCACTGAAGTGCCTGTCCTGAGAGCCATGTTGTTTCTCAAACTGGCCATTACAATCCCAATCATCTGTGAGACTAGAGCACTGAAGGTCATGTCTTGTCAATCTTCCCATTATCTCCCACTGGGCTGATTCTATTTCATAAATTTCTTTCTTCAGAAATAACTTCTTGGTCTCACATGTTGATTCCAGGACTGAAAGAAAACACGAAAGCACTCACTCAACATTTTTATTATTTGGGAAGAATGAAACTTCAATTAAAACGAGTGAATTAAACTGAAGTTTAAAAAAAATGGATGAGAAAAGAAGAAAGGAGGGGGGCTAGGGATGTGACTCAGTGGTAGAGTGCTTGCCTTGCATACTGAGGCACTGGGTTCAATTCTCTGCACTGCATATAAATAAATAAATAAAATAAAGGTCTATCAACAATTTTAAAAAAATGAAAAAGAAGACAGTAGGGAGATCACACAGGAATACTGTCAAATATGTGGCACATAGTAGGTAATTAATATTACTGTGGAATAACATTCTCAATTAAATAAGGAAAAGAGCTTGAAATAACATAAAATCATATGGCAATATATCACACTGAAACTTTTTTTTGATAGAGATATTAAATCTGATCATAATAAAATAGAGGACAGATTAGAAACGAATACTTTTTACCACATTCTCAGTAAGACTAAGAGACATGGCATTGATAAAATAAGCAACTTATTAGAAAAAAATGATGTGAGATACCTACAAGTTAGAGTCATGATAGCTAAAATAAAACCTTAAAACAGACAATAAAAACTATTAGCAGAATAGAAATTGTCGGTGTTTGTCCCTTTGCAGAGACATCAATTTGAACAACTAGACATGTCTGAAAATACCCTCACAATTGCTAGGCAATCAAGATGAAAGATTATAATAGCTGGGTAAAGTTTAGAAATAAGAAAAAAGATACACTGAAGAGGGTAGGAAGACGGTGTTATATTACCCATGTCACCTTTTTGCAAAGCCCAGGCAGTGAAACAGGACAGAGATAACATTTCAGGGAAGGAACAAATTGAGTATCTGACTTTACTGCAGATGGTAACAATAGGTCTGTCCCAGTTAATCCCAGCACCAAATTGGCACAAGGCTTTAAGCCCACATCATTGACAGACTAACTCCTGTGGCCCCAGGTTCTAGCTGACTCACATAGGCCCAGACTCCAGGCCAGTCCAAGTGATAGCCAATCTATGCAGACCAATTAAACAGACCAGCACCCTCGTGGACCCAACTTCCAGGCCCACCCCAGCAATAGACCAGTCCTATGACCCCAGGCTCCAAGCTGGCCCACAAAGACTAATAACTCAGGCCCATCCCCATATAATCAGGTTGCAAGCCTGTCCCCACAAGAACTGCCCACATGTACCCAGGCTCCAAAAACACTCCCATGCTATGGGCTCCCAGGCCTACTCATGTGGAAGCCAGCACCAGGTTAATCCAGGACCCAGGGCCCCCATGTGTCCAAGCTCCAAACTAAACCCAATGGACCCAAATGTCAAAACCACCTCACAGAACCAGGAACCAAACCACACAGACATTATGAAAAAACAAGGGAGGAAGTGCCCCAAACAAATCAAGACACTACAACAATGGAATCCATAGATAGCTCAGTAGGTGAAATGTCAGAGAAGGAGTTCAGAATATAAATAACTGAAATGATTTGAGAATTAAAGAATGACTTAAGTGAGCAGATACAGGCAAAAATCAATCACTCCAATGAAGATACAGGTTGCAAGAGATTACTTCAAGAAAGAGATACAGATACTGAAACAAACAAACAAACAGAAACCCTTGAAATGAAAGAAACAATAAGCCAATTAAAAAACTCAATAGATAACATCAACAAGAGACTAGATCACTGGGAAGACAGGACCTCAGACAATGAAGACAAAATATACAATCTTGAAAATAAATTGACCTCACAGTGAAGATGGTAAGAAATCATGAATAGACTATCCAAGAATTATGGGATACCATCAAAAGATCAAATTTAAGATTTATTGGGAGAGAGGAAGGTTCAGAGATTCAAACCAAAGGAATGCACAATCTTGTCAATGAAATAATATCTGAAAATTCTCCAAGCATGAAGAATGAACTGGAAAATCAAATACAAGAGGCCAATAGGATACCCAAAATACAAAACTACAAAAGATTTACACCAAGACACATTATAATAAAAATGCCTAGCACACAAAATAAGGATAGAATTTTAAAGGCCTAAAGAGAGAAAAAATCAGATTACCTATAAGGGAAGACCAATTCGGATCTCAGCAGATTTTTCAACCCAGACTCTCAAAGTTAGGAGATCCTAGAACAACATATACCAAGCTCTAAAAGACAATGGATGCCAACTAAGAATCTTAAATAAACAAAAATGACTGGTAATACAATTCAAGTCTCTTTCAAGCCTTTTTGATAAATTTTTACACAAAAATATCTAAGTTTTCAGACTTTTGTTTATTTTGTAGTTTTTTGTTTTCCATTTCTCTTCACAAAGTCCACAAATATTTTCTTTAAAAGTTTTAGCATTTTATACATTATATTTTAATATACAATTAATCTAGTATGTATATATACATTGCCTGTGATATGAGTATATTTTACTCTCTTATAATTAAAAAAAACATTACTCAAGATTCAAGGATGAAAAAGATCAATCAGGGTAAAAATTGTTTAATAAGGTATTTAAAAAGGTAAGGGTAAGATTGAGGGAAACCAACAAATTTTGTGAAGCACCTTTCCTTCTGTAGACTTGGAGAGGTAGGAGGTGACATAAGAGAGAGCCATTTTGAAAACCTTGTAGGAGAAGGCCACCTAACTGAAGTTATTCCCACCAAAAGCATGAAGAAACCAACTCACAGTCTAACAGAATCTTATAGGGAAGAATAAAGCACCTCGCTTTACTCTTGTATATTCTAAGTTCATATCTTTGGTGTCCCTTTTGGATGGATCTCAACAAAAAATAACACATAACAAGGGGACTCATCATGCAGTCTACAGCATATCTCTCACCAAAAGGTAAAAGATGGAGAAAGGAGCCATTGGTTACATGAGGCTACTGGGTATTTGAAATGTGTCTAGTCTAAATTGAGGTATGGTATGTGTTAAATAGACATAAGATTCCAAAGAATTACTAAGATAAACAAAATGAACATGAAATATCTTACTAACAATTATTTTCTTAGCAAATTATGTTGGTAATCCATTGGGTTAAAGGAAAATATATTAAAATTAATTTCTCTATTTGTTTAAAAAAAAGGAAGTGAAGGAGAACAAGGTAACATATTCTGTATCTTGACTGTAGTACTGTACATCCATATATGTTGTCATTTTTTCATATTTGTGTTGTCAAAATTCATATAACTACAAAACTAAGTAGGGCAAATTGTACCATATATAAATTATATCTCAACAAACATGACAATAAGGGGTTGGGGATGTGGCTCAAGCGGTAACACGCTCGCCTTGGCATGCACGGGGCGCTGGGTTCTATCCTCAGCACCACATAAAAATAAAATAAAGATGTGTGTCCACCAAAAACTGAAAAATAAATATTAAAAACTCTCTCTCTCTCTCTTCTCTATCAAAAAACCAAAAACAACAACAACAAAAAAAACATGACAATAAAAAGAAATGTAGTTCATGAAGTGTTTTAACAGTATTGGGCACATACTAACCACCTGATAAATAATGGCTATAATTATTATTCATTAAAACAACCAGCATCAGGCTGTTTCATAGTGGGGTAGGGAGGGGGAGCATGGGATGAATACACAAACTCTAGATACGGCAGAGGGGTGGGAGGGGAAGAGAGGGGGCATGGGGTTAGAAATGATGGTGGAATGAGAAAGACATCATTATCCAAAGTACATGTATGAAGATATGAATGGTGTGACTATACCTTGTATATAACCAGAGATATGAAAAAATGGGCTCTATATGTGTAATATGAATTGCAATGCATTCCTCTGTCATATATAATAAATCAGAATAAAAAAATAATAAAAAATAAGAAAAGAAATGCCAAGAGTTTTTTTTCCCAAATAGAAACAAAAGGACATTCACAATGTGAAAATACAAAACTCACTATAAACTTACAAGCAGTCATATTTAGAAGACTCCAATAATATACCAGTAGTATATAAATTGCTTTTTTACTCTAGTTAAAAGACAAAAGTATTAAAAATAACTAAGCCAAGTGTAGTGGCATTTACCTGTAGTCCTAACTACTTGAAAGGAGGATCACTTGAACCCAGCCTAGATAACAAAGTAAGACTCTCAAAAATAAAGAAACAAATGCCAAGCATAATGGCGTACACCTGTAATACCAGCAGCTTGGGAGGCTGAAGAGGATCTCAAGTTCAAAGCCAGTCTCAGCAACTTAGTGAGGCCCTAAGCAACTCAGACCCTGTCTTAAAATAAAAAATAAAAAAGGGCTTGGGAAGGCTGGAGTTGTGGCTCAGTGGTAGAGAACTTGCCTAGCATGTGTGAGGCATTGGGTTCGATCCTCAGCACCACATAAAAATAAATAAATTTATTGTGTCCACCTACAGCTAACAATAAAAAAAAAAAAGGCTGGGGATGTGCTCAGTAATTAAGCATCCCTGGGTTCAATGCTTAGTACCACCCCTCCACAAAAAAAGGGGAGCGAGAGAGCATGCATCCAAGAATTATATGAGAAAAATGCATGTAGAAACTATTAAAATATCTACTCCTTATGGCACACTGTCTCCCATGAGTTTGGCTTCTATCCCCAACTGCTCAACCTACAATTCTTTGCCATACCTTTGTATTCTGTAGACTTCTAGACACTGGGGCACTTAAGGGTGCTGTCATTGCCTTTAATATATACTCATGCCCCTAGGTTATCTCATCCAGTATAATGCGGGGTATTTCTATAGTGAAGGCTCTCCAAATTCTCCAAACCTGATTTGACCTCGACTTATGTATTAAATTGCCTATATGACATTTATACTATATCCAATTAGTATCTTGAGCTTAACACATACAAACCTGCCCCTGCTTTTGCAACACATGTTAGTAAAACAGTAAATACTGGTTAAAAGTATGATTGAATCAGTAAAGATTTGGAGCTTCTAGATCCAAAATGAAAAATTAGTTAAAGAAAATAAATATTTGGTTGTGGGAAGCCACTCTGAATGACCCACGCCTTCATCCTGAAGCAAGAGGCTCTGACTGATTACTACATTTCCTGGTGACTTAGGCATTGTACCAGCCTAGGAAATAGAAGGTGTGTCTTCAGGAGCTAAATTCACCTATTCCTTTGTAATACTAACCCTTTGACCTGTTTGGGAATAGAATGTTCCATGGAAACGCCCTTTGTGTGTCCCCTTCTCTTGCTTTGCCTTTGGGTGTGGCCTTCCTAGATGTCAGTCAACCTGCTGACAGCAGATGTCAGGAAGCTAGACTCAACCCCCTGAAACTTGACCCCTTGCCTCATTTGAATGGCTTCTTCTCAATAAAAGGGTTCAGCATGTGCGCTCTCTCTCGCTCTCTCTCTTTCTGTGGACCCTTAAGGTCAGAGGAGCCGTCACAGGATCCAAAGAAAAAGGTGTTTGTCTGTCTTTGTGTGGTTATTTCACGTAGCCCAGTTCACCTGGAGTGACCCTGAGTATTTTAGTCATGAGGAATGTGACATTTGGCAATGTAGGAAAACATGTATTTCAGGAAACAGTGAGTTTTTACAAGACTAAATACAAGAGGATGAGAAGCTGGGAAGAAACTGGATCCAAAATATGGACAGAAAGGAATATCATTAGACAGGGTGGAAGAGAGTACTGGCTAATGAGCAGAAAAGCAGACAAAATGAGTTATGTAAGGGGAAAAGGTAACCTTCTTTGAAAGCTTATGCATTTGCACAGCTGGACTAAAGATTTTGAAGGGAGCTTCTCAGAGAGCATGTCAAAGAAGCTGTCTCTCCAACTGGATCTTTACCTGCTGTGCCTCACTTACCTGGCCATTGGCCTCTTGTCCGCCCTCTGTCAACCAACCAGGGCTCCTTTCCTTGCTCCAAGTAGGAGATCACATTTGGTTTAGAAATGGAATGTCCTGCTTACAAAAGAAGTAATGAGACAAATGTAGAATGAGAATTGTCTCAGATTTCAAGTCTAGTCCCTTCACTGTAAAGAAAGACATGACATTATAGGAAGGATCAAAGAAAGGATGTAGGACTCCAACTGGTCTATGAAAGGTAGGAGAACATTTCATACTGGAGGAAACAAACCTTCAAGGGCAGAATCTGAATTATTATGGACAGATGTCCTTACCCATTGAAACCAGGTTGCTGTAATTCTCCAACATCACATCTCTGTATAAATGTCTCTGATCATCAGTCAGGCATTCCCACTCCTCCTGAGAGAAGTCTATGGATACATCACTGAACATCACTGACTCCTGGAACAACAACCATGTATATGACTTGATTAATAAAAAGAAGTGTTTTGTGTAGGAGAAAAAGATTAAGGTAGCAGAAGTGAAATACAATGAGCATATGAATATCTGGGATGCATATAGAGGACTGTAAAAAATAAGCACAACAGGATCATTGTGCTTCCATGTCATTCTATTTTCTCCAGACAAAACTCTCTGTTTAGTGGGTATTTTTATCATCTGAACAAGGGTGGGAAGGTACAAAAATCCAGCCAAGATGAGTATTGTAATTAATGGAATTGTGTTCACAATGCCTTGCATGATACCTGACATACAATAAATCATGAATACTGTGTGATCTTCATTTTCTTCCCCTTCTCTCAAATAGGTAAGAGTAAAATTTCAGAATAAGGAATAAAGACAGAACATTAAAAGCATCCAGAGGATAGCAGGTCATATAAAAGGCATTAAGAATCAGGGGGTCAATGGAATTTTCAAGAACACTCTAAAAGCAAGAAATAATAAGAACAATTCTTCAATATCCTGGGGGAGAAAATAAATTCTGACCTAGAATTCTAAAACCAAACTATCTACTCTGTTCTGAGTATTTAAAAATGACATTTCTAGAGATACAAGGACTCAAATACAATTTCCTAGGAAAACTACTGGAGGATATATTCCACCAAAATGAGGGAGTCAACCTGAAAAAGATGACATGGGATTCAGGAAACAGGTAAAGAACACTAGACAGAGTGTATGGGGGGCGGGGGGATCCAGGGAAAGTGATAAAAGGAAAGTCTTAGGAAAGCTGTGTCACAGGTCTAGAGAATAACCAGATCAGATGGGAGTAGGAGACAATGGAATAGGGAAGAAGTTTCTATGTTCAAAGGGAACTGATGTGTTCCTGTGTTATTGACTGTGGCATGTGGCAACAATACTGGGAATTCTTAGCTATAACACAAACAACTAAACAAGTAGTAGAAGAAACAATTAACCCCAGGGAAAATGAAAGAGTATATTAAAATAAAGCCATGAGATGGCTTGATAGAGAATAATTTTTTCTTTTTTGGTACCAGAGATTGAACTTAGGGACACTCTACCACTGAGCCACATCCCCAATCCTTTTTATTTTTTATTCTGAGATAGGGTCTTGCTAAATTCCTTAGGGTCTCACTAAGTTGCTAAGGCTGGCTTTGAACTTGTGATCCTCTTGTCTCAGCCTCCAGAGCCACTGGGATTACAGGCATGTGCCACTATGCCCAGTGAGAATGATATTTAAAGCCATGATAACATTACAGGCTTTTTTCCTGACTCTTAACAGAGTCAAGAAAAATGAAAGGTAAAATATGGGAATATGATGTCCCTTTTTATTTTGAAGTGAATCAAGGGATCATTAATATAACAAATTTATCAAAAGACAGCAATTAAACCATATTCAAGAGTTGAAGTTGGGCACAGTGACACATGTCTGTAATCCCAGTGGCTCAGGAGGCTGAGGTAGGAGGATCTCAAGTTCAAAGCCAGTCTCAGCAACTTAGTGAGGCCCTAAGCAACTTGGCAAGACCCTGTCTCTAAATAATATATTAAAAAGGGCTGGGGATGTGGCTCTGTGGGTAAGCGCCCCTGGATTCAATCTCTCATACCAAAGAAACAAATAAACAAACAAAAAGTTAAATGCAGATGGGACAGGACTGGAAGAGTTTTACTTCACTTGAAAACATATGTAAATGGCTTTAAAAATATTTTTAGAAAATTAAATTTGCATATAATTTAAGACTAATTCATCCTGATGCTACTATCATAAGAACTGTTACAATAAATGCTTTTTATAAGTATATTTATTTCTCACTGAATAATATTCTATTGTAAGTATATAAATATTAACTTTTTTTGCCTTCAATTAAAAATTTAGGCCAGAAGTGATCTTTAAAGACCTCCTTGACAATGGCTCGATATTAACCATCCGCTGTCCAATTTTAATTTCTCACTGAATAATATTCTATTGTAAGGATATAAATATTAACTTTTTTTGCCTTCAATTAAAAATTAACCATCCACTGTCCAATTGTTCCTGAGTTATAGAAAAATGATGGTGGATGATCCAGATTAACATAATGGTATTATCAATTTTTCCCTCCAGTACTGGGGACTGACTCAGAGGCGCTAGACCACTGAGCTACATTCTCAGCCCTTTTTATTTTTTATTTTGAAACAGGGTTTGCTAAGTTGCTGAGGCTGGCCTTGAAATTGTGATCCTCTTGTTTCTACCTCCCAAGTAGCTGGGATAACAACCATATGCTACCACGTCCCACTTGATATCGGTATCTCATGGACGCATACTGGAGTATTAGAGCTTTAATCAATCAGCAGTTATTTTCCCAAACCTAAAAATCTCATAAACCAGGGGATCTTGCCATGTACTAAGACTGAAGTTGAACAAAACCATTACAAAAATTCTTACTGGAAAACCAAGGTTTGTGGAGATAATCAGTGCTTCTCTCTATGTGCCCTAGTTACTCACTTCTTTCCCATTCAAGTGTCCAGGCAAATTAGATTAATTCAATATGAGGAACATATTTCTGTACTATCAGGATTTGTGGAAGAAGTTGGAGATAGGAAATGCTGGAGCACTTAGTAAGGGAGCATATAAACATTGTTTTAAAAAGGGGGAAACTGTGCCCGGGCACAGTAGTGCACACCTGTAATCCCAGCAGATTGGGAGGCTGAGGCAGGAGGATCACGAGTTCAAAGCTAGCCTCAGCAAAAGAGAGGCACTAAGCAACTCAGTGAGACCCTGTCTCTAAATTTAAAAATATAAAATTGGGCTGGGGATGTGGCTCAGTGATCGAGTGCCCCTGAGTTTAATCCTATTACCCGCCCCCCCCACTCCCACCCCAGCAAAAGGAGGCAACTATAAAGGGTACTGGATTGTTTAGGAGGAAATGGAGCTCAGGTCCTGAAAGGGGAAACTGATAACCAATGTAAAAAACATTAAACCTGATCTAGGTCAGACTTTTGTTGTTGTTAAAGAGACAGGATTTCACTGTTTCCCAGACTAATCTTGAACTCCTATTCTAAAGTGATCTTCCTGCCTCAGCCTCCCAAGTAGCTGGAACTACGAGCACTTACTACTGCGCCTGGCTTTGGGTCAGACTCTTTTTTTATTTTTTAATATTTATTTTTTAGTTGTAGATGGACACAATATCTTTATTTTATTTTTTGTGGTGCTGAGGATTGAACCCAGAGCCTCGCGTGTGCTAGGCGAGCGCTCTACAGCTGAGCCACAACCCCAACCCAGTCAGACCGTTTTTACAGTAAATAATTTTTCAACTAAAAGAATGATGAGGAGTTGGGGTTTTGCACTTCCCACACAGTGTGAGGCCCTGGGTTCGATCTTCGGCACCACATAAAAATAAATAAATAAAAAATAAAAAATACTGTGTCTATCTACAGCTCAAACTATAAAAAGAATGATTGATAAACCATTTTCTGATGAAAATTCCATTTTAAAATTCTGTTTAAGGGGCTGGGATTGTGGCTCAGAGGGAGAGCGCTCGCCTGGCATGCATGAGGCACTGGGTTCAATCCTTAGCATCATATAAAGTAAAATAAAGACATTGTGTTCACTTATAACTAAAATATAAATATTAAATTTTTTTTTAAAATTCTGATTAAAAGTTCTTTAGAGAAACATGGATGCCTAACAGTTACCTACAACTTAAGAGTATAAAAATTAAACAAGATTATGTAGCCATTTCTTTTTTCTATAACTATTACCAACAATGGAAAAAATTTTAAACTGGCCTACTAAAGACCCTTTCTTTTACAGAAGAGTAAGAACACTTTGGCACTACTTACAATGAGACTGTCTAAAAGGAGTTTTTAAAAAACAATAAAAAGCACCAAGATAAGAAAGCAAATGTTCCTATGTGCTAGAGGTAAAAACGTTTCTATCTGAGCAACAGGAAATAGCATCTCACCTGAGCCATGGCTTTGATATTTGTTGAAAGACCTCTGGGTTCCTCTTTTGGAAAGCGGTAGAGCTGGGAAAGGCAAAAGGAGAGATATGAGATCCCACTTGCCTCAAAGCTCCCAGAATGATAATCTCCCCTCTATTCACCCCACACAAACATTTGAGAGCTATCAATGAGAAGAATGGGCAAATCTCCTGTCACCCCCAACTCCCAAGAGACAGTTCTATTTGGACTCCAACAGGAGGATTTCAGCAAGATAAAGATGGCCTAAAGAATATATGTTTGTGTACATGCAAACATACACATATACAAGGATATAAAATTCTTTTTCTCTAATTGTAGTATATTATACATACTATTATAGACATTGCTATTTTTACTGGTTGGAATTCATATATCTTAAAATGAATCCCAACCAGTACATATTATGATATGTAATTGTCTTCATAATCACATTGCATTTCATTGAATAAACATATCTCAATTTTTCAACTCATCTGTAGTCAATGATCCTTTGGTTATTTCCAGTCTTTCACTATAATAAACAATGCTATAATATATATCCTGTGTGTGTATCATTTTACTTGTATCCTATGTAAATTCTGAATGGTTAATTACTAAAAGTAAGTCAACAGTTTTCAACTGTCATGTGTAACTAATTAAAACAAATTAAAAAACTAATAAAAAATAAATACACATTAAAAAAAAACAGTTTTCAGTAAGCTTGGTTAGTATGATTGGGTCCCAAGTCCTAACAAGAAAAAATAATCCTACATAGTTTAAGAGGATTTGCAGGATAACAGGTTTTTTTTTTTTTTTTTTTTTTTTTTTTTTTAAAGAGAGAGTGAGAGAGATAGAGGTAGAGAGAGAGAGAGAGAATTTTTTAATATTTATTTTTTAGTATTTGGCGGACACAACATCTTTGTTTGTATGTGGTGCTGAGGATCGAACCCGGGCCGCACGCATGCCAGGCAAGCGCGCTACCGCTTGAGCCACATCCCCAGCCCAGGATAACAGGTCTTGATTTAAGATAATTGAAACCCATAGGGCTGGGGATACAGCTTAGTTGGTAGAGTGCTTGCCTTGCATGCACAAAGCCCTGGGTTTAATCCCTAGCACCACACACACACACACACACACACACACACTCACGATAATTGAAACCCAGAAAAGCAAACAAAATAATATTGCTGACCCAAAAGTCCCATATCTTCTGCCAACATCTGTGAAACTGTGTCATACTAACTTGTTAGCTGACATGCAGGGTCAAATTTCAGATACTCTACTGTTCTTGACAGAAACTTGTGATTTTTAAATTGGAATTGAAGGTATGGGTTTGAATTTGTAGGGGTTTTTTTAAGTTTTTTTTTTTTTTTGAGAGAGAGAGAGAATTTTTAAAATATTTTTAGTTTTCGGTGTACACAACATCTTTGTTTGTATGTGGTGCTGAGGATCAAACCCAGGCCACACGCATGCCAGGCCAGCGCGCTACCACTTGAGCCATATCCCCAGCCCGAATCTGTAGTTTTAAAATATATAAACAGCCGGGTGTGGTGGTACATGCCTATAATCCCAGAAGCTCAGGAGGCTGAGGTAGGAGGATCATGGCCAGCCCCAGTAACTTAACTAGGTCTTAAGCAATTTAGCGAGACCTTGCATCAAAAAGAACAACAAAGCCAGGCATGGAAGCACATGCCTGTAATCCCAGAGGCTCAGGAGGCTGAGGCAGAAGGATTACAAGTTCAAAGCCAGCCTCAGCAAAAGCAAGGTGCTAAGCAATTCAGTGAGACCCTGTCTCTAAATAAAATACAAAAAAAGGGCTGGGGATGTGGCTCAGGTGGTTGAGTGCCTCTGAATTCAATCCCTGGTACAACTTCCCTTCCACCCGCCAAAAAAGAAGAATAAAAAGGGATCAGTGGTAAAGTGCTCTAGGTTTAAATCTCTAGAACAAGAACAACAAATACATATATAATGTACAAACATATATATGTAAACACATATATATGTATACCAGATATAAATGCATGTAGCAAAATTTATATATATATCTTTCTGCTGACTGAAATCCAGCAGTGGCACACCAAGTGCCCAGATCTTGGTTTATAAATTCATTCTCCGATAAAAGAAACTAGGGGTCCGTGAAGAAATTGCTGATTTCAGGGCTGGAAGAGGGAAAATACCAGGTAAGTTTTGAATAGTGAATGGTGCTAGAAAGTAAGATGCTCATTTTTAAAAAATGCATTGAAAGGACACAGGATCAAACTTAAGTAACTCCTAATGGCCAAAATGGGCTAAACTCTGGGCAGCAAAATGAATAATGATAATAATGGAATAAAACTCATAGAATAAAATAAAATATATATCTAAGAGTCCATAAATAATTAAATATACATGAGGAAGAGACAGTCCTTCCTTATAGTAAAATTCAGATTAAATGTAGGATTGATAGAAATCACCATTAGTCAAATATCATGGTGTTCTTATAGATAAAATTAATAGGCAAAAACATGATGAGAAATAAGATTTTTGCACAGTCCTGAAGTGTCTGTCTCCCCACAAGATATTACTTAAGACAATGGGAATAGCAGTGATTTTATCAAGTGATCAAAGAAACACTTTTTAAAAAAATTTTTTAAAACACTAATTTTAAAAATTGTGTTGGGCCCAATACCTTTATTTTATTTGTTTATTTTTATGTGGTGCTTAAGATCGAACCCAGTGCTTTACATGTCCTAGGCAAGCGCTCTACCGCTGAGCCACAACCCCAGCCCCAAGAAACACTATTAATACCAAAATATAATATCACATAACTCTGATACAACACATTGAGAAGAACACCACCATTTCAGTGATCTTTTGCCAAAAATGCATAGTCTTAAGTTTAACCATGAGGAAATATGAAGGATGAGCCTAAATTGAAAAAAGCATCCCATTAGAAGGACGAAAACAATTCAATCTGCTGTTGTCTTGAAGATGAAGGGGACCATATCAAGGAAATGGGAACCTTGGTCCTAGAACCTCTAGGACCTAAATTCTTCTAACAACCTGGATGAACTTGAAAACAAACCTTCCCAAGAGCCTCCGAATGAGAGGACAGTCCAACTGATACCTTGATTTTAGTAGGGAGGCTCTGAGTAGAAGACTCAAGTGATGAATGCTGTGCCCACTGACTTTAGACCCATGGTAATTATTTGTAGTAGCAACAGAAAACAATTCCTGTATTATATTTAAAGTCTTTACTGTTTAGGGTGTTTTCATTTTGATTTTTCTGTTATTTATAACTGAAAGAGAAATTATGTATACTCATGTATAGCCTTCCCCTAAAAATTAGAACTTTCTCTTTTTTTTTTTTTTTTTGGTACCAGGGATTGAACTCAGGGGCACTTAACCAGTGAGCCACTTCCCCTGCCCTTTTTATGTTTTATTTTGAGACAAGGCCTTGCTAAGTTGCTTAGGGCCTTGCTAAATTGCGAAAGCTGGTTTGAGCTTGAGATCCTCCTGCCTCAGTCTCTTGTGCTGCTGGGATTACAGGCACAAGTCACCTCAACCAGGTAGAACTTTCTATTCTTACAATCTATTGAATGTTTTGCCTTTTGGATGGAAGACTGCAATTTTCCTTCTATTAACTGAATGGCTGTCAAGAGCTAGACTCTGGGCTAGTCAGTTTATAGATTTCACTCCAATCCTCAGATCATCTTTTATGTCACAGATAAAAAGCAAATGATCAAATATCGGTAGACAAGCCCAGCAAACATCGCCAGTGATAAGCAGAACAAGAAATATTACTTCAAAAAGGAAACAGGTTTATAAGAAAATAGTTTAGTTTTTAACCTGCCTCTAATATGAAAAATGTCCAGGATTTCAGGAGCCAGCTACTGAACAGAAATGTTTTTATCTCAAAGGGTTTTGACTTTCAGGCCACAAGCTGAAGTATGCAATAATTAAAAACAAAAGAAAGAAAGGAAAAAAGTCTACCAAATAACTGGCCAATATTGTTCAAAATCATCTTCATAAGAGATATAAAGGGCAGGCTGAAGCAGGAGAATTACAAGTTTGAGATCAGTATCTGCAACTTAGCAAGACCCTGTCTCAAGATTTAAAAAGGGCTGAGTATGGTCTGAGGTTGTGGCTCAGTGGTAGAGCACTTGCCTAGCATGTGTGAAGCACTGGGTTTGATTCTCAGCACCACATATAAAATAAAATAAGATTCATCAACAACTAAAAATATTATAAAAAATAAAAAGGGCTGAGTATGTAGGGTATGTAGCTCAGTGGTAAAGTGCTCCTGGGTTCATTCCTTAGTATCAAATAAAAAACAAAAACCTACTGGTGACAGAATTCTGAAGAGTGATTGTAAATGAGAAATGACAGAAGAGGCATCACAAGGGACCCATGTGGGATCTTAGCAAAGTTCTTAACATTGATCTAAGAGATTGTTAAGCACCAATGTAAAAAACATTTATGCGGAGGTGCAGAGGTCCAAGACCTGGAGCATTGGTGGTGAAAGATAGCTCTTTAAGTCTGCAATTTAAAAAATGTTCTCCAATAAAACTACATTGCAAAAAATGGGAAAGAAACAAAATGGAAAGAGTAAAACAAATTGACAGGAAGAGACTGAAGAATTTGTAACAGGAAAAGTACTAGATTGATGTATCATAAATGGAAAGAGGGAATTATTTTCTGAAGTGGAAGGGATTTAGAGATGCTGACAATACTTGGGAACCTGAAGAAAATTTAGATTGTCCAGAATTGATGCATTTCTTAATTCTCAAAAAGCTTGTAAAGAGGGGCTGGGGTTTTGGCTCAGTGGTGGAGTGCCTGCCCAGTGCATGCAGGGTCCTGGGTTCAATCTTCAACACCACATATAAATAAACAAAATAAAGGTATTGTATCAAATTACAACTAAAAAATAAATATTAAAAAAGCTTGTAAAGAAAAAATGGTACCAAAAAAGATCTTTTAAAAAAATATTTATTTTTTTAAGATTTTTAGGTGGACACAATGTCTTTATTTTATTTTTATGTGGTGCTGAGAATCGAACCCAGTGACTCACGCATGCTGGACGAGCGTGCTACCCCAGCACCCCCCCAAAAAAATCTTTACCTGACAATGAATCTGATGATAGCAAGCCAAAAAGAAAAGAGAAGCCACTGACAAACCAAGAGGCTTTACCCGAGGTCTTGATCCTGAGCAAATAACTGGTCCCACAGACAGCAGTGGAGAACTGATGTTTCTCATGAAATGGAAAGATTCAGATGAGATAGCCCTGGTGCTGGCAAAAGAGGCAAATATGAAGTGTCCTCAAATTATAATTGCTTTTTTATTAAGAGAGACTAACCTGACATTCTTGTCCAGAAGATGAAGCTCAATAATTGTTTGTATTGTTTTTCATATGTGTAATACATAAAATATGGGTTTTGGTTTTTGCTTTACTAGTATGAAAAAATAACTACATTCTAATGAAAATCAAATTTGATATATTGGTTTTGAAAGTAGTATTGGGGTAGTTGTTGGGTTTTATTTTATTTTTTTTGTTTTGCATCAATAGCACTAGTTACTTTGAACAAAAAACTTTCTTTAGTTGCATCCTTTATCAGGAAAGAACATTTGATATGATGGTATATTTCCTATGTTTTTCTAAAAGTTGGGGAAATTTTCCATAGTCATTACTCAGAACTTGTTTTTAACTCATATGCTTAAGGACCATTTTGGGGTTTTTGTTTTTGTGTGTGTGTGCGTATACACATGCACATGCGTACATAAAATACTTACACAACGGATGGTTTTTATTTTTTAAAACATTCACCAAAACAAAAACCATGGGTGGTAATCCCATGTTCCTGAGATTCCATCATTCTGTGCAAACTAAGAAATAAGTCACTTCAAGTTAAATTGAAATTTTTCCTGAAACCATAACCCTTCAGGTTAAATAAATGATTCTATAGTTAACTGGATAGTTTAAATTGGATAATTAAAAGTAGCCACAAGGTGGGGCTGTGGGGATGGGAAGGATGGTAGACTGAGACAGACATTACTTTTACCCTAAATATGTATGATTACACTTACTGGTGTGACTCTGCAACATGTACAGCCAGAGGATTGAGAAGTTGTGCTCCATTTGTGTACAATGTGTCAAAATGCATTCTACTGTCATCTGTAACTAATTAGAACAAATTTTAAAAATCCAACTGTTATGTATTATTATAATGTGCCAATAAAAAAAGGAAAATAAATAAGCCAGGTGTGATGGCACAAGCCAGGCATGGTGGCATAAGCCAGGCATGGTGGCACTCGCCCGTAATCCTAGCAGCTCCAGAGGCTGAGTCAGGAGGATCTCAAGTTCAAAGCCAACCTTAACAAAGGTGAGGTGCTTAGTAACTCAGTGAGACCCTGTCTTTAAATAAATACAAAAAAATGGGCTGGGGATGTGGCTCAGTGGTTGAGTGCCCCCAAGTTCAATCCCTGGTACCAAAAAAAGAGGAAGAACTAAATTAAACATTAAAAAAAGAAAAGAAAAAGCCACATTAAATCTACATCTATAGTAACATAAATGCAACAGTTTTATTTGCAAAATTCTTGAAAGGAAAAAATACTATTACTCAACAACTTGGGCACCCAGACAAGTAAACTAGACAAATCCTAGTTTGTCTTAATTACCAAGACTTAAGCAGACATTTTAAGAGTTCTTTTAATTAGCCATTCCTTTTTTAAAGTTGAAATCTGTGTAATAAAAGGTCATAATTCATGGAATGTCTTAGATTTGGCTCATGGAAACCTGATCAGATTACTAGAGATGCTGGCAATTTACAACCTGTTCACATAAATGAGTGACAAAATTTTTAATTTAAATTATTGACTTGCATATTTTTTCTCTATCCCAAATCATTCCTTACATGTAGGTAGGTTCAGTCTTTTCAGTATTTGGATTACTGGTTCAACACAAGCCAAGAAAATAACTTTGTAGTAATCAAAATGTTACCCAAATGTATATTATTTAGTTTATTGTAAGTACTACTGAACAATGGTCAATAAATATTCCTTTAAAAAATATATGCAATTTACTATATATCTACTCATAAAAATTTTAAAAATTATTTTTTAAACACAGCTTTAACCGTGTTTTGATGGGAAAACAGAGCAATAAGATGTTTTAAACATTTCTGTGCAAGTGTAAATGTGTGCATTCATTTTGGTATATATTTTGCACCATTTGGTAAAGTGCAACATATCGTTTGATGAAGCAATTCCTCTGGTGAACAAGCATGTGTGACCCTATGTAAAAGAATGTTAGTGGTAGTGTAACAAGGATTTAAACTCTTTACTTTTGCCTGCAAATGTCCAATGGGTGGCTAAAAGTAGGATTAAAGACTTGGCATCTCTGTTTCCATTTCACATCCATCTCCTTTGCTTGTGGTAACCTTGGATCCAGGAACAGGGTCTAATCAATACATATATTGTGATGAATTGAAGTTAGCTCCCCTCCACGTGAAACAGTAACTTTCATATTTTAGATAAGGTTCTGCCTTGTCCTGGGATAATGATGGACCAGACCATATCTGGTCAAGACCACTTGCTCTGTCAACTGTTGAAAGCCTCCAGTTATCTAACTCTCAAACCTTGCCCTTATTTACCTTTTTATAAAACGTCAAAGTCACTGTCAGCCCCTTAAAGACAGGGCAAAGGACACCGGTCCCCTTGTCTTCTCAGTGTAGCTACACTGATTAAAGTTGCTTTCATGATTTTCTCCATTACCTTTTCCTTTTGTTTTTTGGGGTGTGTGGCTAGACCTGAGTTGTTGGATTCCCAGAGTCAAGCTTCTGGCCTAGAGTATGGTAACAGCAGCATTATTTATAAAATAAAAAACTAGAAATAACTCAAATATCCTCCATTATTAGCAGGAATGAATAAGTGCAGTATACTTCAAAAAGAAAAAAGAAAAAAACTGAATGAACTATTGTATCTAATACGAAATATTCTTAAAAACATTTGAACAAATAAATAAATATAATAAAAGACAAAGGATTTCATGATTACATGCGTATTAAGTCCTAAAACTAGAGTATATTGCTTTAAGGTACCATTCAGTTCCAGGAAACCCACTCTCAAAACCACAGGCAACACACACCCAGAATCTCAAAAGGTCCTACAGGCACAACCGCACATTTACCAAGAAGAAGCTCAAAGTTACAACTGCGGTCACACACACGATTCACCTGTACCCTGGACACAGTCAAAATCCCACACTAACCACATGCACACACACAACTACAACCGCACAGTCTGCATCTGTATTCCCACCTGTAATTTGCTGCACGTGCCCACAACGTCACACAATCATACACCACAGAGGAGACAACTCCGAAACGCCCAGCCAGTCAAGAGCGCCCAGGATCCGCACACAATGCCGCGCGCGGTCCTAATGTCTCTCCCACACGCAGCAGGTTCTCCACTCCGTGTGACCATTAGACGGAAATACTCAACAGTCTGTTAAGACCACACGATCCTTCTTCAGAAACTACCACACACATTATAACAGCCACACAATTTCAACCTCAACTCCTCCGCGGCACAAAGACAAGCCTCGGCTCCAGCCCCGCCCTCCTCTGGAGATCCTCACCTCAGGCCTCCCAAGCTTTCGAGGCAGTAAAACACTCCACAGCACTGGATTAACTGCTGGTGAAGCCCCCAGGATCCCGCCAGCGCGTGACTTTAAGGCTGAATTCCCGCGAGAAGGAGGTCATGCCGAGTAGTGCTCTGGGAAACGTAGTTAGAAAGGTAAACAGAGGTGGACAAGGTGGTTCCGTGTTTCAGGATTCCTATCAGCGATTAGCTGCGGCCACCAGAAAGGATTGCACACTTTATTGAAACACACTGCAAAGGCCTGAGTCCTGGATCAGCCTCCAACCCCGGCTCCCAAAGAAGGCCGCTCCAGTGCGTTTGACATGGTTTTACTTTCCGCCCCTTCCTTACTATTGGTAGGAACCGGAGAGCCTCAAGAAGAGGAGGGCAAGTTTGCCTAGGAAGGTAGTTCTCACCGCTGAGCCTTCTGGGAAATGTAGTTCCGAGCAGAGCAGAGGCTGTGGGCGCACCATTCAAAAGTTACCTCAGGCTGGGCGAGTTATCCCAGCGGCTTGGGAGGCGGAGGCAGGAGGATCAAAATTCAGACCTCGCACCAGCAATTTAGCGAGGCGCTAAGCAACTCAGTGAGACCCTGTCTCTAAATAAAATACAAAATAGGGCTGGGGATGTGGCTTACCAGTCGAGTGGTCCTGAGTTCAATCCCCGGTCCCCCCCCCCCCCAAAAAAAAAAGTCATCTCAAGAGATTAGCCTCTGCTTTGCCACTCCCTGGTGACTGATGCCTGGGAAGGCTAGTGGGCCTAGGAGGTACTCGGACACGGATTTCCTGGGGTGCAGTACTGTAATAGTGATCCCTTTTTTTAGGTGCAGGACAGGCTGAACTATGTTGTTTGCAAGGCAGGCTGAAGGAAAGTTAGCTGCAGGATAACCCACGCACTCAAACCCCGCCCCTCTGTCTGGTCCTTTATCACCTGCTCAGGTCTGAACACTTAACCCCACTCAAGGCTGAACACTGGACCCTCACGCGTCTGGTGCAATGGAAACCCACATCTAGCCCCTGCCCCATCTGCCTAAACGCAGACATTACTGTATGATCCAATCACTGTTGCCAATAAGGCAGCTTGCAGACCAAAACCCCATTAGATTTGGGCTACAAAAAACTCCCTCCTGCCGGGCCCTTCTCTATTGCTCTTCTCCCTTTGTCTCTCTCTCTCTTGCTCTTGCTCTCTCTTTCTTCTCTTGCTTTTGCTCTCCCTCTCACTCTCTCCTCTCCTCCTCCTCCTCCTCCTTCTTCTCTCTCTCTCTCTCCTACCCCCCTCTTTCTTCTTTCCCCGCTCTTTCTTTCTCTCTCTTTTGCACTGTTACAATAAAGATCTCTTGGTCGCTCTGAGTGTTGTGGTCACTTTCCTTTCACCTTCACCTTCTGAATATAGTCCTTCTTGCTCTAAGGCTTATTTTTTAAAAGAACTTTTTTTCTCTTTGTCTCTTCTCCCCTCCCTCTCCCTGTTCCTAACAAGATTAGGGAGACTCTTTTTCTTCCCCTGGTTAAGTGCCCTTGAACACACCCACTACAGGAAGGAAATGTCTGCTGAGAATCTGGGAAGTGAATATCTCCCAAATGAACAAGTGAATCCTAACACCATCAGGACTCCCTGGGATCCCCCCTACCAGAGCACACCTGGAATGTAACCCTTAAAGACTTTCTTTAAACGCCCCCTGTTCCTCCTGATGGAGCCAATCATAGCCTTGGGGACAGGAGTCCCCCGTGTTTTCTCCTTCTCCTCCAATAAACCTTCTTTTTTCTTTTTCTCAAAATTGTGTCCTCATTATTAAATTGGCATTAATTGGCATTGGGGACAAGGACTGAGCTTTCAGTTACAGTATCTGTTCTGGGATAAATTTGGGTGGGCATTCTTCTGTGCAGAGGGATCGGAGGGTCTGAGGCTGGGAGACCCAAAGCTGGTCTGGGAGGTTGAAGGGGTGGAGAGCAGGAGCACTCAGTGACTGGGAAGGCTGAAATCATGGATTTGCTTAAACATGCGACAGATTCGGGGACACTATTGCAAAGGGGTCTCTTGTTATTCTGAGCTACTAACCTCTGATGAGGAGGATGAGGGGTCGGTGAGGTGGAGTTTGCAGCAAGCAAGGAGAGTCCATGGGTGTATGACTTAGGTGTTGGGGGTTTGTAGAGAAAAACTGCATTTAGAAATTGTGTGTGTGTGTGTGTGTGTGTGTGTAATCAATACTTTATAATTGTACCTATGACTGGGATTGTATTTTGGGGGTCATCTTTGAGCCTCATCTGTAAAACAATAATAAAGATAGATCATTCTAGAGCATCAGTTTTTCTTGAAGATTTGAAGGGAGAAAGATTGTAACTGAACTTGTAATGACTTAACACTTATGTAAAATTAGAAACATCTATTATGGAATAGAAGATGAAATCGCTCTTGGTTTCTTAAAAAAAGAAACTGATTTCAAAGAACTTTGTGGGAGAGAGTGTGCACACGCGCCCTCTACAGGTGGGTTCTTGCTCTTTAGAGCACAGGCACAGAGTTCAATCTGGGTTGTTTTAGAGTGCTGTAGGATGTTTGGGACCAGGTGTAGGACTAAGGGATCTGATTTGGGAAGTCCTGGATTAAGAAACAACAACCTTCAAGATTGAAGAGTAGTGTTAACTGTTGCAATTAGCAGAGAGGTGAGTTAGGCCATGAAGAGACAACCATGAAAGAATTGCAAAGGGGTCCCTTGTTATTCTGAGCTACTAACCTCTGTTTGAAGGGTGGGAGACAAGAAGGATGAAGTTACTGTCAGGCCAGGTGTATTTTGTTAGGTATGAAAATAAGTAGCTTCTAACTACAAAGATGTTCTCTTGAAATGTTCTGCTCTGGTTCTTTGACTATAATTTTAAATAGAAGGAGAAAATGAGGTAATTGATAGAAATTCATGTGATTATACGAACAAAACCATTGAGAAGTATAAAATGCTTAAGAATAACCTTATCAATATATAAAAAAATTAAATTAGAAAAAAATTAAAACACTACTAAAGGACATGAAGACTTAAATGAAATCTATATCATATTTTTTTAGTTATAAATGGGCACAATATCTTTATTTTGTTGATTTATTTTTATGTGGTGCTAAGGATCAAATCCAGTGCCTCACATATGTGAAGCAAGTGCTCTTTCACTGGGCCACAACCCCAGCCCTCTATATCATATTCTTTTTTTAAAAATATTTATTCTTAAGTTTTAGGCGGACACATATCTTTATTTTACATTTATGTGGTGCTGAGGATCGAACCCAGTGCCTTGTGCATTCTAGGCGAGCGCTCTACCACTGAGCCACAACCCCAGTCCAATATATCATATTCTTGAGTGGAAAACTTACCATCTTAAACATGTCATTTTAAATTAACTTCTGAGTTTAACACAACCCCATTGAAAATAATGTATTTTTAAAGCAAAATTCAGAAATTCAAGGATGATATGTTGTCTTTCATATGTGAAGCTAGAAAGGAAAAAGGGAAAGAAAGCTGGTGGAGGGGTCTCATGAAAATAGAAGGGAGATCAGAAGAGTGGAGGAAAGGGACAAGGCAAAGGGAAGAGGGGAGGTAAAGGGGAAATACTAGGAAATTATATTGGCCAAATTATATTGTTATATTGTGTGCACATATGAATATGTAACAACAAATCTCACCATTATGTATAACTATAATGCACTAATTAAAAAATTGAAAAAGGAAAATAGTGTATTTTTCTAAATAAGAGCTATTCTAAAATTCCAGTTTAAAAACAAAACCAAGAACAGAGTAAATCAAGGGGATAGAAAGTAATGTGAGACAGTTGGGGTTAGTCTCCCCAAGTAACAAAACATACTCTAACCTTTCAAAAGTTAAAATAATATAGGGGGCTGGGTTTATACTCAGTGGTAGAGTGCTTACCTAGCATGTGTGAGGCACTGGGTTCGATTCTTAGCACCACATATAATTAAAATAAAAGTCCATTGACAGCTAAATATATATATATAAAATACATGTATAATATATATAATATGGCACTGTCAACTAACTGAACAGAATGGGTCATCTCAAATCAGTTGGGAAAAGATGACTTTTCAATGAAGGTTCTGAGGTCAATTTATTAATCTTTCTGGGGGAAAATAATGGGCTTTAAAGGTTCAACTCCAAATAGGTCAAAATTTATAACCAAAAGAAAAAAATTATAAGGGGTGAAAGATGGGAAACTGACTTTATGACCATGTAATGGAGAAAACCTAACTTCAAAATGTGAAACCTGGGCTGGGGCTGTAGCTCAGTGGCAGAGCACTTGCCTAGTATGTGTGAGGTATTGAGATTCTCAGCAACATATATAAATAAATTAATTAAATAAAGGTCCATCAACAACAACAAAAAATTTTAAAAAATATAATACCTGAACATAAGAGATTGATCATCCCTTTCATGTGAAAATTTTTTAAAAATTACAAACTGGCTGTAATCCCAGAGACTCAGGAGGCCACGGCAGGAGGATCTGAGTTCAAATTAGCCTTAGCAATGGCGAGGCCCTAAACAACTCCGTGAGACCCTGTCTCTAAATAAAATAAAAAATAGGGCTTGGGATGTGGCTCAGTGGTCAAATACCCCTGAGTTAATCCCCAGTACCCAAAAAAAGAAAACAAATTACAAGCTGGAAAAATAATTGTATTTTATATTATAAACACTCCCTAATATGTAAGAAGCACCAAAATACTGGATATTTTTAAAAGACTAATAATCCAATTAAAAAAGATAAGGAAAAAAATAATTCACAAAACTGGGTCTCTGAGTTGATAACTATGAGAGATATTGGGACCATAACTCTACAGAGAGATAGTTTTTTAGCTACTTAGAATGGCAATAAATAAATACAATCCAAAAAAATTGAAAACTTGTAATGCTAGAGAGACTGCAGACTGGTACAATCTCTTTGAAAGCCTTTTCTCTTTGTGTGTGTCCATTTTCCCTCTAATTTTTTGGGTGGCTTGCTGAGTCTTCTCTGCATTTAATTACTAATTTTTCCCCACTCTCTCATATTCCATTTTGGAGTCAGCATGGGAACCAGAAAGTGCTCAGGATACAACAGAAGCCTGAGTGAGTGAAAAGAGAGTTACGCTGGCATGGTGATACACATCTGTAATTCCATTACTTGGGAGGTTAAAGCAGGAGGATCCCAAGTTCAAGGCCAACCTGGAGAAATTAGTAAGACCCTATCTCAAAATCAAAAGTGCTCATTGGTGGAGTGCCCCCAGGGCTCCATTCCTAGTACCAAAAATAAATAAATAAATAAACAAACAAATAAATAAATAAATAAATAAAATTGATGAAGGACTTGAGTAGACATTCCTCCAAAGATA